GACTTCTATCCAGATCATATAAGAACTCCCAAACCTCCAAGACAAGAAACAACAAGACAAGAAAACACCCCCCCCCAAAAAATTAGGCAAAATATTTGAAGAGACACATCAAGAAAAATATATGGATGGAAAATAAGCTCATAAAAAATACTCAACATGATTAGTCATAGGGAAATGTAAATTAAAACCACAATGACATATACTAGATACCTATTAAAATGGTTTAAAACAAAACAAAGCAAACCTGACAATGCCAAGTGCTGACAAGGATGTGGAGCAACTGGGACTTTAAACATTGCTGCTGGGGATATAACATGGTACAGCCACATTAAAAAACAGTTTGGTGGTTTCCTTGGCATGCCTGGATATTTACTCAAGTGAAATGAAAACTTGTGTTCACAGAAAATCTTTGCAAAAGTTTATATTGACTTTGTTCATAAGCACCTAAAGACTGGAAACAACCCAAATATCTTTTAACTCTTAAATGGGTAAACAAACCTTGGTATAGCCAAACAATGGAATACTATGCAGCAATGAAAAGGAACAAACTAATAATACACAAAACAGTATGGATGAATGTTAAATGTAGGTATGTAAAGTAAGCCAGTGTCAAAGGCTATATGATTTCTGATTCCATTTATATGACATTCCGGAAAAGGCAATCTGTAGGCACAGAAAACAGATCAATGGCTGCCAAGGACTCTGGGCAGGAGAGGAATTGACTCCAATATGCATGAGGGAATTTTTTTGCATGATGGAACAGTTCTATAGCTTGATTGTAGTGGTGGTTGCACGACTGACAACATTTTTTCAAAATTCATAGAACTGTACACTGAAAAAGATAAATTTTGCTCTGGCTATATTATACTAAGAAAAAATTCACTCTTGACCTCAATCAGTAGGGAACAAACCAGTTTACTATTGTCAATTAGGTCAATTATCTTGCAATTAATTCAGCTCTCTTCTTGCTCTAGTGTATCTTAGTCTGGCGATGAGTTTTCTCAGCCCGCGCCTCTCCCCTGAGCTGTTCTGGGGAAGTGCAGCAGTGGGAGTCCTTATAAGCAGCCAGTGTGCTCTCTAACGTGCCTGCAGGCTCCAAGGACGGCCTGCAGTCAAAGTAAACTTGGTAAAAGCCTCACCTTGTGGAGAGACCAGGCAATTAGGGAGCTCAAGTGAAGGGGATGGCTGAGCCATGATAAGCACTGCCAGGCCACCTACGGCACACTGGAATACGCACACAGCCAGATGCAGAGTCCCATCGGTGCACCTGTAGCCCAGGCCGCCTTGGCCTCTTCCTGCTGAGGAGGAAGGAGTGGGCCACACCCTCCATCTTTGGCCCTGTTGGCTTTAAGAGCTGACAAAAACACCTCACCTGAAACTGTCCATTTCACTTGGATGGAATACAGTTTCCTTTCTCCATGTGCCCAGATACGGCACACAGCCCATTTCTCCACAGCGCTAAGAACGAATGGCTGACTTCTCCCACTTACCTTCGGCCCTGGCGGAGCAGATGCTGCCCATGCTCTGCCCATCTGCCCGTGGCACTCGCCATTCTACACGTGGACAGTCGTACTGCAAGCACTTGTGAGTCTCTGAATGAGGGCATTCTGGGGCCACATCAGCAGGGGTGGCTCTCATATGTGGCAACCTGGAGTGACAGGGAATAGTGCCCCCAGGACTGTCCTCAGCCAATGAGAGAGAGGAGCGGATGGATAAATACCTCAGCTTCCTCCCCTCTAGGCTAGAACAGCTGGAGGCTTGTTCTGTACTGTCCCCCAGAGGTCCTCGGCAGGGACCAGTTGTCCACAGTAGTCTTCTGCTCACAAACATGCCTATCACTGTCATTTTTCCCATTCCTGACTCAGCTCCCCTTTCCCCTCCCAGTGCTTCTCGGGCTGAGCTCCCAAATAAACTGCTTGCACTCAAATCCTCGTCTCAGCGTGTGCTTCCGAGGAAGCCCAACCTAAGACACAATCGATACAACAACTGAGGCTCCAGGCCATCCCGTGACACAGTGGGCAGATCCACATCTCCACTAGGTGGAGGCACCCTGGGACGTCAGCTAAGGGGCTGCGTTTGGGTCACGCTCACGGTTTACAGAGCGGGGTAGTTGAGTGGTTCTCAACCAGGAGGTGGTTTTACCGCCCCCCCCCTCCCGCCCAGGGGATATTTGCCGATATCTGGAGCCATTTTTGGTTACCACAGCTGGGGACGAGTGCTAGGGCATCTGGTGGGAAGGACAGGGATGCTGCTAAACATCCTACAGTGCACAGGACAGCCCCCGTGCCCCCACAAGCAATGTCAACAGTGCCAAGGTTCAGAAGCCCTGGCACGGTACAGCACCAGAGTCAGAAGACCTGGCTCTGGATACTTTTCTCAGCTCTAAAAAGGGGGTGAAATATTTACTTCGCAGGGTTCTTATGAGTCTTGAGTTGAAGTAACGGGAGCGTGGAGTCAATCATTCCCTCATTCTATGGCGCCAACCATGAGCCAAGTAATGACCGAGTTGGTGACCAAACAAAGATGGAAAAGACACCGTCTCTGCCCTCAGGGAGCCCAGAGGCTGGGTGTGGAGAAACAGTGCAAACACTCAACGCCTTTCCAATGCGAACCTGGCTCCAACGAGGCACGTGGTGAGTGTGCTTTGACAGAGGCACAAGAGGATGCTCGCTTCCTGGAGACAGGAGAGGATGTTGGAGGTGAGCGGTGCAGACCAGCAGCTGACTAAGCAGAGAGGACCGCTGAGCAGAGGACACAGCCTTTGACAAGGGTACAGAGCCCTGAAGGGGTTGGCCTCTCTGCAGCAAGGTGACCATGCTCAGAGCACAGAAAGCTCGGGAAAGAGAGGGCAGAGATGCACCTGGGAAGGAGGCAGGCGCCAGGCGGTGTGGGGCCTATGTGCAGGGCCGGGACAAGGCGAGGCAAGAGAGGCAGCTAGGGCGCCAGCCCTGATGGGACTTGCACCACGCCGAGAGCGGGTGTCTCCTTCAATCTGGTGCCCTAGGCCCCTCACTTGCCTCACCCAAGTCCCCGCTCTGCTCCTTTGCCACAACAAGAAGCTGGGAAGTCGAGTCTGCAGGCCAGGAGCAGCCAGCAGAACCCTGGGACTTCTTCAGTTTTGAGGAAGACAAGCCGACTCAGGCACAGGGCCACCATGCCACTTCTCATCCAACAAAATCTCCAGTTCAGATCAAGAAAACAGAGCTTTCCCTTTCTGTTAGCGTCTCTGCCCAAATGGAATACTGTTACAGATTCGCACTTTGTCAGACCCAACACACAGCAAACCCCTGAGGACAGAAGCTAGCGGGATGGTAGGTGAGCAGCCTGCCAGGGTCTGGGAGGCAGCTAAGTCCATCTACTCCAGTTGGAAGAATAAGGCGGTGCTTTGAATGAGGGTCAGAGCTCACGTTCATCTCACTACTTCCCGCTTCATTCAAGTTGGATGTTTGGGTTACTGGACAGCAAAGTAGGATTCGGCTCCCCAGGCTCATGCCTGGCCTAAATTTGGACAGGTGCGGGGAAGAGAGAGACAGGGAAGGCATGCTGACAAGGGTCAAGAAACTGATTTCAAGCCCCTGGAGGCACTCCACGAGTGTCCATCCGCCCAAACCACTGGTATGGCGGTCCGAAATGATTCTTGTCTGTTCCTGAACGAGGGGCATGTTTAAGGGACTCTCAGTCTAGGAGTTTTCAATCTTATCTCAATAGCCTGGATCTAATGTAACATGTAATTATCATAATTGCTATCGATTAAAAAATACACACTTTCTAGCAGTCTGTAATTCAAGAGTTTTGGCAATTTGTCTTGGATTCTTCTCATCTGTGCGACTTTACTAGGAATATGGTACTATCATCATGTCTGCATCTAAACACCAAGAGATTCTTTGAAAAACTTGTCCAAGAAGGCTGGCAGCTTTCAAGGCAATGGAACTAATGGAAGACAATGGCTCATACATTATCTAAGACTCCATCACATCTCTCCAAATCCATCATTAGGACTGGAGCTGTGGTCTACAGCTACAGGAATCATTTAAAATGTACTGCCGTCGCCTGGAACAATAGTTCTCAAGCCCATCAGATGCAAATCACCTTTTTAAACAAGTAGTTTAATCCTGAACTGTAATTCATAGACAAAGGAACTTCCTCCCACATACTTTTTAAATTTATTTTATTTTATGTTTTGCTGAGGAAGATTTGCCCTGAGCTAACATCAGTTCCAATCTTCCTCTACTTTGTATGTGAGCCTCTGCCACAGCATGGCCACCGACAGTGATGCAGGTCGACCCTGGGAACCAAACCCTGGCTGCCGAAGTGGAGCTGAACTTCACCACTAGCCACAGGCGGGACCCCCCACCCCCCACTTTTTAAAAACCTGCAAAATGCCCTTATTGTAATACACAGGGAGATCAAGGGGCAGTACTTGCGTATACGAATGCCACGTTTTGTGCACATCTATATGAAACCCGTGGGCAGGAGATCACTGGAAGCGTCAGTGAAGGATCCTGCCACTTGCAGCGAGTACAGCGAGCGTCCGCGTAGGCAGGAGCTACAGAAGTGGACTCTCTGGCGGCGTTAACCTGGTGATGGACACCGGGAGCAGCCCTGCCATAGAGGACGAGAGATTCTAAAAACAGTGAACAACTCCTGGTGAAGTTCGGGCCAAGAAAAGAAATGACCGCCTTCCACGGCTTTCCCGACGCTTGCATTGCTGCGAAAACCGCATGCACTAAAAGCGTACCAGAAAAGCATGGATTTCTTTGTTGGTTGCTTGTGCTTTGACGTGCATGCTGTTGATGGCGAACGAAGAGAAAAAGCCCGGCGGGCCCAGGCCTCGGGTGGGAAAGCAGCCTTCGCAGCAGGGAGCGCGGCCCCGGCCCGCAGGCCACCGCAGGGGGCAGCGGCCCGCCGGCGGGGAGGGCGCAGGCGCAGCAGCGGCGCCGCAGGGGGGTAGGTGGGGGGGTGACGACCCTCCCATCCACTTCCGGCCCGGCCCCAGCGACACGAGGCTCAGCGCGGTGGCGGCTCCAGCGCGTGGCGGCTTTTCCGATCGCAAGTACTTCGTGTGGCGCTTCCCTGGGGCGGGTCTCCTGGGGTCCGTTTTGAAGCGAGGCCGGTGGCTCCGCCTGGGGTCGCGGCGTTTGCAGGCCGATAATCTATAGGAAGGACGGGATTTCCACCGGCTCGTCACTTGGGCTTTGCCTTCTTTTAGGGCCCCTGTCGTACGCGAGGATGCAACACGCCTTAGAACGAGCTCTGGATCGCGCGGCGTGTGTCATCGAAAGTGCCCAACAGAGACCTCCTAAAAGGAAGTACGCGTCTAGAGGGGAAAAATCGGTCTATGAGAAACTGTATGACATATATGTTGAAGAATGCGACAGAGAGCCTGAGGTTGCGGAGGAATTACGAAGCAACGTGAACTTGCTAGAGAAGCTTGTTCAGAGAGAGTCGTTGTCGCGTTTAGTGGTCAATCTGCACCCAGGAGGGCAGGGATACTCGCTGATGCTCAGGGGAGAAAATGGCTCGTATTCGGAGACCATTCGGCTGTCTTATGAAGAGGGGGAACTGCTCCAGTACTTGGATGCAGAAGAATTACCTCCTGTTTTGGTGGGTCTCCTGGAAAAATCTCAGGTGAACGTTTTTCACTGTGGATGCGTCATCGCAGAAATACGGGACTACAGGCAGTCCAGTGACGTGGAGGCCCCTGGTTACCAGAGCAGGTGCATTCTCTTACGACCAACCATGCAGACGTTAGCCTGCGACGTAGAGTCCCTAACCAGCGACAGCCAGACATGGACCCAGGAGGACAAACTGTTGCTCGAGAGCCAGCTGATCTTAGCCACAGCTGAACCACTGTGTCTTGATCCTTCTGTGTCAGTAGCCTGCACTGCAAACAGTCTGCTTTATAACAAACAAAAGATGAACACTGACCCAATGAAGCGCTGCTTCAAGAGGTGCTCGAGCCCGGCTCTGAGTCGGCAGCAGGAGCTGTCTCATGGCCCACCTCCGCCCGAGCTAACGGTACTGACTTCTTGCCAACCAAGCAAAGAGAGTAACGCAGGTGAGCAGTATGACCTCAAAATTTCTGGAGCAGGGAATTATGTGGATGTGTGGGAACAGAGACCCTGTGACTTGGCCGTACCTTCTGAAGTGGATGTGGAGAAATATGCTACAGGGAAGAAGTCCGTGAGCTCTGATGACTCCCAGCCAACAGGCTGGCCAGCCCATGAAGTCAGAGATGATTCTGTATTTGAATGGGAAGCAGGCGATCAGTACTGGGATACAAAGATGTTCTTCATGCGCTCGCTTAATGATCCACTTATCTCTGGGAAAGAAATGTCACCTAAAAAAGCCAGATATGAGAGACAGCTGTCTCCCCCCCACCCCTCCAGAGGTGACCATTCAAAGAGTTTCATGCCTGGGTCGAAGACTGATGCTGGGACGGTAGTCATTCGGCCCGAGGAATTGGTCCAGAAGAACAGCAGTTGTCCAGTCAAGGTGTCACACAGCTCCAGTGGCTCAGCCAGTCTCAGCCCACTTTCTCCAGGGAAGGAAACAGAACGGCCTAAGACCGTGCTGCTTCAGGCCTCAGTCCTGGGGGAGGAAGTCCAACCTCCACCGCCGCCCGTCACGCTGCCCTCGAGCTCAGGCACGAGTTCCTCAGCCAGCAGTTTTCCTCCACAGCAGGCAGGCGGCTTTCCTAAGTCTGCATCTCCTGCTCCTGCTTCTAAGCCACCAAGTCTTCCCCAGAACTCCCCTGTGGAAGTGAGTCGAGTTAGCACGCTTCCTGCAGCCGCCCAGTCCACTGCTGGCTCATCACAAACACAGGTGATCACCCAGGTCAGGGTCAGCCCCGTTGGTGTCAGGGTCATCAAAGTGGTGAATTCTGTTCCCGGAACCCACGCTTTGGTGAGAGCTCCCAACCCCTCGCAGGGCTCTGCCACTGGGGCCACAGCTCCCACGGGAATCTTGCCCAGCAACCTGCCCTTAAGAGGCCAGCCACCAAAAGCGCCACCCACTGCCCTGCAAGCGAATTCTCAAGTAGGTGTTCGAGTGATTTTAAAAGATGCTCCAGGTGCCAGGCCCTTAACTCTGCTCCAGTTTCCACCAGGTTCGCTCATTGTGAACACCCAGCAGCTGCCTGGGCAGCTGCAGCAGCAGCACCTCTATCAGCTGATTCCAGAGCTACAGGGTCAGCAGCCCTCCACTTCGCATCCTCAGCAGCTAGTGTCACAGGGTGCAAGTGCACAAGGTTCAGCCAGTCAGAAAACGGCCTTCTGTGCCCAGCAAGCTGTTGTTGTTAACGTCAGTAGAAGTTTTCTGCAGCCCCAGGTGATTGTGTTGTCTCCGCCTGTCCCTGCCCCGCAAAGACCTGGGCAAAGCCTTCCTCTGCAGAGAGTCCAGCTCTCCTCCGCCTTGCAGCAGCTGCAGCAGCCGCAACGTCAGCAGCAACCACAGCATCAGCAGCAGCCACGGCAGCAACAACACCGTCAGCAGCAGCAGCAGCCGCAGCAGCAGCAGCAGCAGCCACGACACCTGCTGCAGCCACAGCATCAGCAGCAGCCACGGCAGCAACAACACCTGCAGCAGCAGCAGCAGCAGCAGCAGCCACAGCAGCCAGGACACCTGCAGCAACCACAGCAGCAGCAGCAGCCACGGCAGCCACAACACCTGCAGCAGCCACAGCAGCAGCAGCAGCCACAGCAGCCACGACACCTGCTGCAGCCACAGCATCAGCAGCAGCCACGGCAGCCACAACACCTGCAGCAGCAGCAGCAGCCACAGCAGCCACGACACCTGCAGCAGCCACAGCATCAGCTGCTGCAGATACAACACTTGAGAATCTTGCAGCCCCCAGTGGCTGTGGCACCAGCAGCAGCCCAGACAGGTCAGCCCGGTCGGCGCCCGCAGACAGCAAGCCAGTCACAAGGTAAAGCGAATAGAGGCCCGCCAACCCCTCCCAAATCCTGAGGTGCGTTATTTTCTCTTTCTCCAAATCCCAGGGCATCGAGCCTAATGAGTCCCGAGTTTTTGGTTCATCTGTGGTTTTTCTAATGTGTCAGTCGTTCCCATTATTAGATGTGCAAGCTTGATACCGAAGCGCAGCCCCAGGCTTTTCACCTAGAAACAAGGAAGAGGTTTAATAAGCTGGGGTGTTTTGCTGAAGCCATTGCTTTGGGGGCGGTTGTTGACATAGTTGTTTTTATCATCATCATGTAACGTGTACCCAACTCCAAACTAGGCTCAAACTCCTGAGGCCTATAAGTTCTCTAAAACAAGAAAACCACCACACCAATCAGGTTACAATTAGTATTATTTTAACAGGATGGCTAGTTTTTAAATTTTTTAAGTGAGTTAAAAAACATTTAACATAAAATGTACCATCTTAACCATTCTTTTGAGAGTTTTTAGAAAAATGTTTTAAGGTTGGTACCTGAGCTAACAACTGTTGCCAATCTTCTTTTTTCTTTTTCTTTTTCTTTTCCCCAAAGCCCACGGTGCATAGCTGTATATCTTAGCTTTTGGTCCTTCTAGTTGTAGCATGTGGGACGCCGCCTCAGCGTGGCCTGCTGAGCGGTGGCATGTCCGCGCCCAGGATCTGAACTGGTGAACCCCAGGCTGCTGAAGTGGAGCGCACGAACTTAACCACTCGGCCACGGGGCCGGCCCCTTAACCATTTTTAAGTGAGCAGTTCCATGATGTTCAGTATATTCTCATTGTTGTCCAGCAGATTTCTAGGCCTGTTTTCCTTTTGCCGAAGTGAAGCTCTATGTCCCCTGAGCACCAGCTCCCCGTGTGCCCTCCCCCAGCCCCTGGCCACCGCCATTCTCTTTCCTGTCTCTGAGTGTGGCTGCTTTAGATCCTTCATGGAAGTGGGGTCACACAGGATCTGTGTTTTTGTCACTGGATTATCTCACTTAGCATCATGTCCTAAAGGTTCCTCCACGTTGTAGATGTGACCGGAAGGTCCATAGTTTTTGAAAAATGGTTTCACTGTACAAAATATGTGCTGAAGCGACCTGTGAAATATTGAAACATGTTCAGAAGAATGTACTTTGGTATTTGTTTATTTAGTTTAAAAGGTTTGTACACAGTGTAGGAAATGTAATTTTTACAAATGTGTTTTGAAAAAAAGTTAAAACTACCAAAAAATAATGCTTGTCCCACTTGTATTGCGGACCTGGAGACTCCCAGGGTGTGGAATGGATTGGGCGCACATGCTCGCTGGGCGTCCCCAGCCCTTTAAGAGGCTCCACCTGCGCTCGGTGCCCACCCCCCCCCACCAAGTTCGGCTGCCCCTCCAGGCCTCAACCACTGGCCTTGAAAAGGCACTTCTGAGACATCTCATTTTCTCTCCTGATACAATCATTTACCCTTTTTAGGACTCTGGCTTATTCACAGAAAAGCAAAGAGCTAAACATTGGAACTGAGTTTTGTTTGTTTGCTTTTCAAGTGCTGGTGACCTTGAGAGACTCTAAAGTGGAACCCACCCCGTTCTCTCCCCTTCCTCACTTCGGGAGCATCAGTTCAGTAGCCCCTGCTCCCTCACCTTTTCGTCCTTCTTCCTGGTTTCAGTGGGACTCAAGAGATCCCTGGGCTTTTGTGTTTTCTTTTTTCCCTTCTTCCTTTCTTTTCTTATTGAGGTGTAATTTACATAAGGAACAACCATTTTAAAGTGTAAGGTTCCGAGGCATTTGCTACATATACGCTGTTGGTGCAACCACCACCTCTGTCTATTTCAGGACATGTTCATCACCCCAGAAGAAATCTCTGTAGCTGTTAAGCACTCGGTTCCCATCCTCCCCTCCCCCAGCCCCAGAAACCACCAATTTGCTTTCCGTCTCTATGGCCTTCCCTATTCTAGATAGTTCCTATAAATGGAATCACACGGTCTGTGACCTTTGATGTCTGGCTTCTTTCACTTGGTTCATCCACATTGTAACATGTGTCAGTACTTCATTCCTTTTCATGGCTTAATCCCGTTGGTTGTATACGCCACATTTTGTTTATCCGGTCATGTGCTGATGGACATTTGGGTTGTGCTCACCTCTTGTCTGTTGTGAATAATGTTGCGGTGAACTATTGTGTGCAAGTATTTGTCTCAGTGCCTCTTGTATTTTGCTCTCTTACAACTTTGAAAGGCAACCTGTTGATATAAAATTTATTTTTCTGAGTACGCATGTATGTTTCCCTGCCTTTTGCCCTAAGAAAAAAAGGAAATTTGGTCTGGCAGTTCCAAAAGAGACGAATGAAGAGACAGGGAACTCAGGCAACCTGGCTGTACTAAAGGGCTGCCAATCCTCTTAAGGGAAGATGTCGGTTGACTTCAAGCAAACGCGTCAGATATGCCACCCGAGTGACACTGAGCCCATTTAAGCTTTATGTGACCCATCCTGGACGTCTCTGGGAACGGTGCCTGGGCTGTTAAGAAGTGAAGCAGTGCAATGACCAGCTGCAGAAGCGAGTTTAGGCTCCTCTGCCTCGGGAGCCAACCAGAGACCTGAACTCGGAACCTCACCACATTTGATGTACTTCTGCCCTTTTGCCCTCTTTCTGGTCCTTTCAAGTCCTACCTGGAGACACTAGCTGTACTTGTACTCGAGCAATGTGGTGCTCTTTTCAGTCAAGCAATTAAATTCAGCTTTGTTTCAGATTACGGTTTGCTGGTCTTTGTCCATTTCCTCCTAATGATCCTAACCAGGTTGGTACTTGATGCAGCGTCCTTTTTGAGGATATTAACTGGCTATGTTTTGTGAATAAACTTTTCATTCATTTTAGTATCCTGAGAACCTGGAGGCTCGTCACTACCCCGGGTCAAATCCATACTCTTCGTCTGAAATTAGTTCCGTGCAGGCTGCATCTTTATGACTTAACAGCTGAGCGTCCAGGAAAAACCAGGTGGGCCCAGTACAGCAGGACAGGTCCAGCAGAATGGGGGCCTCTGTCACAGCATGGGACTTTGGGAACAGGATTATATTCCTTGAGAATACTTGCAGGTGAAGGTGTTACCCTGGTTCTAGGTCAGCGCTGTCCAGTAGAAATATAATGTGAGCCCCATATGTAATTTTAAATTTTCTAGTAGCCACATTTTAATAAGTAAAATGAAACAGGAGGAATTACCCTTAATAATTTATTTGACCCAATATATCCAACAGATTATCATTCCCACGTGTAATCAATATTTTTAAATTCTTAATGAGACATTTTACATTCTTTTATTCTTACTAAATCTAAATTTAGACACAGCCTGTCTTACTTCGGTTGCTACATTTGCATCAGAAATATTTGATCTGTATTTAGATTTTTATAAAATCTTCAATCGAAAATGTAGGTTCACCTTCCAAACATACTTAGACGTTTTCCAATAATTGACTCAAGTACCAGTTTTTAAATTTAAATTAGTTTAAATTAAATAAAAATTAGTTCCTCCGTCTCACTAGCCATGTTTCAAGTGGTCAGTAGCCGACGTGGCCGTGGTGTTGGCCAGCCCAGTCCTAGAGGGATGGAGGAGCAAGGCAGGTCTTAGAGACACAGCCTCAGGCATGAGCCGGGTACCAGTTCTTGAGGTAAGGCAGGAGCCGGTCCTCCGAGCACACAGTTAGAGTGGGAGTGAAGATGCTGATTCCGTGTGCTAAGCCGGAGCTCCAAGAAATCCTCACGGCCTGTGGTCACCTGGGCCTGGACCTGCAGGTAGAGAGCCGGTGGCCCCAGCCATGGCGCAAGGAGGCTGGTCTAGACTGCAAAACAAGGGTCAGCCCTTTGCCAGGCTCCGCCCTGCCATATTCAAAACGCCGATGAAGAGGACACTAACCATCCCAGCAGTTAATTAAAACTCATCTATCCCACCGTACCCCAAGGGGCTGGGAGCCTGAGGGAAGGCGAGAGGGGAGACGGACCACCTTTCCCTTCCTGCAGTCCTCCTCCTGGTCCATTTTCCGGGCACAGATGAAACCAGAGCAGCCATGAGTTGATAATCGTGGGAGCTGAGTGATGGGTACGTGGAGGCTCATTATTATTCTACTTTGGCATATATTTGAAATTGGCTATATATATCCATTGGAACAGCCCATTTCCTGACGTTCCTACAGCCCTATGACGCACCTTGTCCCATCCCAACCTTCATCTTGTGCCCAAAGTCCTGCCAGGCCCTGGCCCTCGGCTGCCCTTCCTTCTTCCCTGACTCACTCCCATAGCCACGGGCAGCAAAGGGTGTGTGAGTTAATTGTTAAATTCAGTTCAACAAGTTCCTCATTAGGGACAAATTACCTGAGTTTGAAATCTGCTAATTTTCCAATCAGAGTGAGTGTTTGCACTTGTGATTTGGAAATAATTACAAGATGGTAAAAGCAAAGCCGATGTGGGGATTAAAGTAAAGGTGGGGGAGGACAGGGGCTTATTTTGGCATCTTCCGGGGAACCTCCGGTTAGCATATGCAGATTCGCTGGGCGCCTCTGGGGTCGGGATGGGAAAGCTCACCTGTAGCGCCCGTTATGCAAAAGCTGTTTACTTCCTGCGCTAATACCCCTGAAAGGTGACCACTGAAAGGAAGAGCAGTGTGGCCTTCGTAGGCCTGAATTGGGTCTGGAAAGAGAAGAGACTTTTAAATTTGGCTATTTCATCTAAAATTAATCTACACTTTTGCTTAAATCTCTCTTCAGTCTAAAGCTTCTGCATGAGTTAGAAATACAAACAGTTCCTTGGTGGCGGAAGTGGTGAGTCTAAATGTCCTTTGGATGAACATGTAATGAATGTGTTAGGGAAAGGTCATCTGAGGGAGTTGAAGGGATTGTGGGAGTAATAATTGCTGCAGAAAACCACTGTGATCCGGGGTGTAGAAATCTGGGTCATTCACCTTCAGTAATTTATCCCAGTCCTAATTACTAACAATATCATTCGTTACAAAGGTTTAGAAACCCATGGTAAAGAATAGTCACGGTTTCAGGTAATTCACAAGCCAATGCAGAAAAACTCCTGCTGAGACATTGCTTTTGAAATTTGACGCCAAGGAAAGCTTTTCTGCCTGGAGAAGACAGCATCCCTCCTCTTTTCTGATAACCAGAGTTGTACAAGTTCTCAGGTTTCCCTTTGTGCCTCAGCTGCCAGGAAACTCAAAAAATCTGAAACTGAAATGACCATGTTTACATTTATGGTTAGCACGTCAGCATTCCTTGCTCCTTATTTTTTTCCCAGTTTTATTGAGAAATAATTGACGTACATCCCTGTATAAATTTAAGGCGCACAGCATGATGGTTTTTTTTAATATATATTGTGAAATGATTACCACAATAGGTTCAGCTGACATCCATCTTCTCATAGAGATCTGATAACAAGAAAAGAATAAAAGATTACTTTTTATTTCTATTTTTCTTATTTTTTATTTCTATTTTACTTGTCTTTTGTCATAGACTACTTCAAGTCTTTTGTCAAAAGCAG